AATCAGTAGCGCGTGCCCACAAGCCGTAATAGGGTGTGTTCGCGAAGACGCTATATAGTACTACGTAAACAAACTGTTCAAAACTAAACAAACTTGCTACAAAAAATTGTTTGCGAAGCTAGGCGACAACGCTATCAAACGTTATCATGACGCCACTAACGTTCTATGTTCTTAACTACTATCAACAAGCGCTATCAACCCTATTCTTTTTGAGGTAATGTATTAGTATTAGCTGATGATTATGGAACTCATTGGGTGCTTCCGAAATACCCAGAGTTGGGTTGAGTTAGTTCCACTATAGTATATGTAACGGATACTATAGTGGAACTAACTCAACTTGATCCAAACCTGGATATTTTGGAAGCACCCACTATCGCTATCGTGCTATTCGCTATCGCTACTGACTTCATGAAAAGTCCTTGGTTGGGTTTGTGTCGGTAGCGCGATAGTGAGCTTCGCGAACATATTCATGATGTGCTCGAAATGTATCCAAACCGTTTTATGGCTCAGTATAAAACTTCACTACAGATATTAATTGGAAAGGGATAACAATATAGGTATATAAATCTGTATTTGAATAACAACTTTATATACTTATGACAACTTTATTACAGATATTAATTGGAAAGGGATAACAATATAGGTATATAAATCTGTATTTGAGTAATAGAAAATATGTTTATTGAATGTAACTACATGTTATAATGATAATAAGAATGGTAATGGTGACAATATTGATGACCACTCGCGGTAACGTGGAAGTCGCAGCGTATAAATAACTGAGAACGCAGTCAATACCTCCAATCTTTTTAGAGCGACAGGGTAACAATGATAAAATATCCGATATTTGCGGCGGATATAAATATATTTTGATAACTATGTATCTTGCAAAAATGTACAATGGAATGTATATTGCATTCATCTTCATTAACAACAGACGCTTATTTAATGACAAGTAAAATTGTTTCGCGCACACACAACATCATACAAATACTTCAAAATATCTACAAACTTCACGGAAACTTTCTCTCTCTCATTCTCTCTTTTTTCTCTCTTGTCATTTGGACGAATCGCATTAATCTTAATCATTTAGATATTTCCACAAAGTGGACTGCATTTAATCAATATCTTGTGATGCAACGTAGTGGAGCTGTATCTACGAATTTTATTCATTAAATGTATATATCTAAACTGGTCGATGCTTATAAAAATGTTTCCTGCATAGAGCTACACCTCAAATATGCACACATAAATAATATCAGACCAGTGTTTTACTTAAAATATAGAACAAATTAAAATTTTAAGTTAAAGTCCAACTTCAAGTTGGACAATTCTTATTTTAATGAAATAAATATAAGATATTAGTCGACCTTAAAGTTAACGATAATTCTCAAAACGCGTAGAAAGAAAATATCTAATGTCCAATAGAATCTTGCAAATAAAACAGTTTGGCACTGTTAACTTTATTTGTGAAATCAATTTTTGAATTTTAAATCGATTAATCGTAGTCATTCGGGGCAACTAATGATTTATATATGCATATGTGTGGTGCCTTTATGTATGTCATATTTACAAATACATCTCAATATTTGAAAAATTCGCTACAAAGGCACACAATGCTAATATCTTCTATTTTTACGATTTAAGTCGAAAAAGGCACTCTCTAAG